TCCGGTGCACCGGTTCACCGGTCTCGAGAACGGCGTAACGTCCGGCCTTTGGAGTGGTGAATGGAAGCATCTCCTGAGGAAGGCGTCGCCGCCACGTGGCTTCGGGAGCGCAGCGTTTCCGAGTCGTTTCGCATCGGTGGTTTCGTCTGGAGCCGAGAAACACCGGTGTTTTCTCTCCCTAGGGATCCACTGCCACCTTCACCTCAGGTAAGGTACGACTGGGCCCTCACATGGCGCCTACACAAAAAGTGTCCAATCACCGTACCTGAGAAGGTACGACTGGATCCCTATAGGGTCTCTATCAGCAGTCACAGAGCGAGTTGGGTGCGATCCATGGAGGAAGTCGGGGTACCCCCGAGTTCACACCGTGTGGGCTCGCCCTGGATGGGACGAACAAAACCAACCACACAAGAAGACCATGTGACTCCTGGTATAGACCATGTTGCGCGGTATGAACGGTTTTGGTGCTTGGAGTTTCTTGTCGAAAGTGGGTTCCACATCAACAACTCTTCCTCCGCAGAGCTGCAGCTACTTCCAAGGCATCTCCAATAGACTAACCTGCACATAGACTACCCATTCGAACCCACATCCCCAGAAGGTGGTTGGGGTGGGTGCCAGGGGGGTCTAACCACTTTCTGAGGATATGGTTGGAGCCCTATGGAACTCGCGCCTTCCTTCACTTTGGGAACAATACAATCACCCGAATACCGCATCATCTTTGGAGACCACCCGGCGGCCATCGTCCTACCTGGAGACGTGCCATTGATGACCAGCCGCGCCGTGTGGGAAAAGTGAATGTTTGCGTGGGAAGGGCTGCATGGTCTTCTGTTGATGAACTACACAGGTTGTGCAGAGCTTCCATCAGTTGACTGGCGTTTGTTCCGTCTACGATCTCACAGGTGTTTGCGCTTAGCCATACACTACTCATGGAGACTGTCACAGAGTTGTCAACTTGTCATTGCCTCCTGCGGTACTCTGTGAGTTTCTTTTCAGGTGTTCAAGGGTTTAAATAAAGCTTGACCTGTTCTGTAGGGCAAAATCCCTAGTAAAACGATGGTTGGATGCATATTCAGCATTATTCAGCCAATTCAACGGTGTGCCAGGAAGCCAAATGGGTGACTGGCTACTCAGTCAACTCCTTAAAACCTGTCCGCTGAGCCGTCGAGCGGATGCGCGATGAAGGCAGAAACTCCCACTGTCGGGCCATGGGGACGCTGGAAGCGAGATTCTGGAAGGTCCCATCCTCAAGACTTGTTGGGCTCCTGGCCCATACCTGGATCTTCCAACATCTGGCATTTTTGGGGAGTCTTTGGGCTGATTTTAGAGTGTTTTTGAGGCAAACATTTGGCACAGCTGGAGGATCCAGGTATGTTCAGAAGGATGGGGACTGACACACCCAAACCACCCACCCCAGCCACCTTCGAAACGGAGGTAGTTGGAGTCCTACTAAACTAGCCTAGGGTCTAGGGCATATTATCACGGACTGATGATGCCGCTGTGCTCCGCGAAGCGGAGCCAGCAGCGACGCGGGCGAGTCAAGTCGAGTCTCACACCGGTCGAGCAAGCTCCTGGCTCGACCGAAAGGGCCTGGCGGCCGTAGCCTTCAGGATCCGCGTCCATGTTGTGTCACGGACCGCAGCTGGCACCCGAAGGACAAAAGCTCTCCTTCCCATCAGGATACGAAGCTCAGGCTTTCTGAGGTCCAGGCCATGGAAAGACCCCAAATCAATAAAAGAGAAACCAAGCGACTCAAGCAATCACCTAGGGCATATATATTCTGGATGTGAAGGCATTCTTCTTTCCCGTCTTCTTTCCGGTTGGGTGGTGTGCCTCGTCATCCGCATCCAGGGCTCGGAAAAGAAGTGGTTCTGAAAACACTCCTTGACTCCTCACCTCCATGGATAGCACCCAACTCTGTGGAACTCACTTCGCACTTCGCTGACTTCCAAACCTCGGCGTTCCTGCGCGTTCCTGACTGACTCACTTCGCTGACCCGATTGAAAACGAAAACCACGGAAATCTTCATTCGCTGACTGACCGAAGGGCGCTTTCACGTCGACCGCAAGTCAAGTCGTTCATCGGGCCGGGTGAAGTCGTTGCCACCCGAGGCGTCGTTCAGGCCCGAGGCGTCAGGGATCGTTGGGATCTTAGGCCCGGGATCCATGGGACTGCCGTGTTTGGAACATGTCTGGGTATATGAGTGTGCCAGGAGTCACAAAGGGCTTCAGCACCCCGATATGGAACTGCTTGGAGTGTTCAAACAGGGAGACCATCCCAGGCAGAACCGCCGGCGTGGTGACGACCCCCTGGAAAGGTTCGGGCCAGTCCCATGTTTGAAGTCCACGGTTTTGACCTTGCTGGATTCATGGCCCTCCGCCTCAACACAAGGATTCCCACAGGTAAGGCTCAGGATCCGCAAGCTGTCGACGATTTTGCTGTTACCTACCAGCGACTTCCAAGGGGTCTTCAGTCTATAGACTATAATTACCCTGCACATAGCTCGCTTTCCTCATGCTCCATTGCACACCCCGAGCCTCGCGTCCAACGAGTTCGGTTGCTGCGAAGCAGCGCAGCTTGGATGGGGAAAAAGGGTCTCCCAAAGCATCACCGCAAAAACGAAGGTTGAGTCAGGGGTCTTGCACGAATCTGGGGGGTCTGGAAGCTTAAATAGCTGTGTACCAGGATCATCCAATGGGTGTCCAATAGACTATATACCCCAATACCCTACTTACAGGTCTCCAAACAGGGCACCCGTTGGAAGTGCTAGCTAGGTTTTGAGGGACCAAGGCCGGTTGGGAGCGTCTGGGTGTTGTTTCTTCGCCACCCCACGGTGCGTGTCTCTCGACGCGGTGCGCCGCTTTTCCGCGCGGAGACGGGGTCGTCTCGGGTTGCGAGAGCCCAAAACCGAGGCTTGCAAGCACGATGCTTTGCTGTCACGCCAAGGTAGGAGGCCATGGCGCTTAGGTTGGAGGCCATGGGCCATTAGTAGCATGGTTTGCTTTGTTACGCAGACCACCAAGAGAGGTGACCTTTGTGACCTGATATATTAGACCCGGAAAATTCAACTGGGATAGTCGAACTCGGGTTCTTCAACCTCTCTTGGCAGGACCTTCCGAGCTCGTCCAGTGCTTTTTGGACACCCTGTGACCAAAACCTCTGAAAACGAGGCTAAAACGATTGGAGGATCGGACCAAACTCTCCATGGCACTGGCGTTTACGACCACGACTACATGGATGGGTCGGTCACTGGGGTCAACACGAGCCCCAAAAGCCTGGTCGGTTGACCATGACCAAGTCTGGTAGTCCATGACCTGTTCATAATAGTCCATGCATTCTGTGTTCTTTGGTCAACCCAGGTAGCACCTCTGCTGCTTGAGACTGGGGGCAATGAAGGTAACTCTTCCAGTCAAAATTGATGTTCGAACGGCCAATGATCTTCGGGAAAAACAGATGTCGATCTGGTATAAAATAGACCGCTAGCAAGTGCTTCGTCCAAACACTAGAACCTGGTCCTTCAAAAACTGAACATTGAGTAATTGCGCATTCGTACTATAGTGATCGCCAAATAAACAGAATCGGCGTCCAATACATTGTCTGTATAACTGTATAGTGCTAATGGATGACCAGTAAAACGAGGCCTGTTCCTGACCTCTACTAGGGAATGGAAGATATAGCTCTGGTTCAACAAAGCATCAAACATATCCTCCAAAAGAGGGTGGATCCAGGATCCATAGGGAATTTCAATATCTGACTCCCGAGCTGTTTCCCTGTTTTCTTTAAATTTGATGGTGTTTCTTTGTCCACCTGCTGGTTTTTAGTGGGGTGCAGTGTCCATGTTTTCCGCAAAAAGGTTGAACAATTCTCCACTGACGTCTGCATGTTCCCCTGCAGTCACCTTGAAGAGCAACTGCTCAGACCACGACGTGGAAGGCTCTCTTAAGTGGCGTGAAACGCTCGGGTGGGAGTGCACAGCTCAAAGCGTTTTTTTTGGTGTCCTGACTGTTTTTGGGTCTGACTGTGTGGGGTTTTGTGGGGTCTGACTGTGTGTGGGTGTTTGCTGCTGATGATGTTTGGTGCATGTGCCCAACTTGTAGGCTTTTAAGAACACATCAGTACCATGGGTCACATTCGAGGTGGTTTTGTTCGTCCCATCCAGGGCTCGCGGATGTTCTGGACACCCCTATCCTTCCTCCGTTCGGAACCGGCACCCCGTCGAATACGTGACTCCTGGAAGTATATGATCTCTGGTTCCTGTCGTTCTAAGTTCCGGTCTTTTTGGACGTAGAGAAGAGCTTTGAGCACGCGAACTACACCAGGGGATTTTGAGACCAACGAACTACACCAGGGGCTCCTGCCCACCCGGCCGCAAGATGCCGCGGACCGACCGTTCGTTGGTCGATGAAGCCCGTGAAAAACCCGAAGCCATTGGGACCATTTAAAGAAAGGTGAACATGTTTGGCAGGCCATTCTCAAAATGAGTAGGAAAGGATATCATTATGAGAATATGAGATAGTATCCTCCCATTTCAAAGGTCAAACTGGGTGTTTTACCCCTGAAAACCAGTGTGGGGCCACCAATCCAAGGGTGTACCATGGTCTGGTGTGCCTGAGGAATGGAGACTCTATAGAGGTATGCAATGCGAACGGACAAATGAGTCTCCTCTTGGAAAAGTCTTCTCAGCTATGCTGCTATGCCAGCTATCCCAGAGTGCCAATGACTCATTGTACCCCGAACGGGCAATGGTGGATTATTGCAGCCAAGTGGGGCAGTTCATGAGTCATTGGAATTGATGCTGTTGGACTGTCAGTGGTGGGATTAAGCCTTGTGGTCTTTGGCTGATGTTGAGACGCGAGACTTACCAAAGGACGGGACTAGAGGCTATAAGCCCCCCCAAGTAGGCCAGGGACCAGCAATCGCAGTGATCCTTTCGCAGCAGCACCAGCTGCTAAAGGTAGTATGTCTGTGAAGGATTGACTCTCTAAAACCTGTTCCAAACCTGATCCTTTCGCAGCATACCCACGGCCAGGTGTCCGGAGGGGATGCTTTCAGCATCCGATGCCCGAAAAGTCGCCCCACCGACCATCCTGCCGTCCAGGCGACGACGTGGCGACCAAGTGGTTCACGGAGAAGACACTGAACGTACCCAAACACTGCCACCAAAGAAGCTACATTCGGAGCATTAAGGGCATCGCTACGAACGGAGCAAGGACGCTACGAACGGGGCTCCTGGCCATACTACTGGGAGCAAGGACGCATGTATGACACTCCTGAGTGAAATAAGCCTTTTTGCGTGTGTTGGGTCTGGCGGTCTGGCATATTCCCAGACCAGACAATGTCTGGGACTGGAGATCAGTTACGTACATCGGCGTGGTTGAAAAGGGGAGCATGTGGGCACTTTTGTCCCGAGTACCAGCTCCATGCAGTGTCTGGAGTATGCAATAGTTAACTTACATTGACCCATTTATGACCCATCCATGTAGGTAACTATTCCTTGGGTCTATCCTAGTCCTGGGCCCAGTGGATGATGATGGTTCAGTTGCAGGCCTGGTTCCAAATAATAATGATGTTACTGTTCTTGTTTACTAACTGTTTCAGGTAATACTGACTCTCTCAGTTTCCCTTGAACAAAAAAGGTAAACCTCTCCATTTGTTCATATTTAGTGGGGAAACCAATCGCATCCAATACCCAAAAAAAGGTTAGAGGTTTTATCCACTGACTGGGTAGGAATAGGACAGATCCAAAATATGCCATACATGGATGGCCTGGCGATGTCTGGAAAACACTGTCCTCTGATGTTTTTTGTGGAGTCCTTGTATCTGGCGATTTTTTGGTTGGTTACCCCTATGCAGGACTGGATGGATCAAATTGCATAAGGCAACGCTTCAATCACAGAAAGAGTGCGCTTTTTCCTTTAGTGGGGTTGGGGGTGCTAGATGCTGGGAGAAGGAACCGGGCTAGCAGGTCCTCAACTGACTTCGTGGCCAGCTGAGGCAAGCTTTCGTGGATAGCAGGTCTTCAAATTTCATCCACTTTCCGAAACAGCAGGAAACCATCCCGGATTTCGATCCCGACCCCGACCCCACCGGCCTCTTCACTCCTCTGCCGGCGTGCCCGCTGTACGCCCTGTGGCGGCATTCTCCGCCACTTTCGAGCCGGCCTCGGACGGGGACGGGGAGAGAAGTAGACGCTCTCGGACGCGGAAGATGCTTGGTGGAGTTGCATCCAAATGGGCGCCCCTTTTCGGCCACTGAACAGTAAAACAGTGCAATTATGTCCAGCGCAAAAAGGACAACGATACGAACGAAATCTTGTAGACACACTCTACACAAAGTGAATGCCTACACGGCCTACCCCCACTGACCCCGACATCTCCAGAGATTGGGGGCAAAACCCACGACGAGAAAAGAGATTCCTCACGGGTCAGCGGATTGAACAAACCCTGTTCGTCGCAAACGGCCGATCCAACCGTCGTCTGCCCCTCCAAAAGGTTTCTTTTCCTTCAAAGGGGTCGAACGGGAGGTCCCTCCTTTCTAATATACACTTGTTCAACAGCAGTCTCACACCTGTACCGGTCCAGGTTCGGTCTTTGCTGTTTGCTGTGGTTTCTTTGCGTTGCAAGGTCCCAAACATGACCGATGGGACTGGAACGTCTAACGACATTTACTTTGGCTCAATCAAATGCAGGTCAATATGCGAGTAACGAGAAGCTACTAGGTTGGAGGCCATCGCTACTAGTAACACATTTTTCTGTAGTATGTCTTTGAAATGTATCTGAAACTATATACTTGAGGTGCTGAGTTATGAAACATGCAGAATCCTGCAAAGCTGCCCCTCTTCCAGTAACTGCAAGCCGAACTCGCCTTCTTCTGCCGCGGCTTCGCTGGTTCCTCTTTTCGGTGGCGACGCCCCCAGAAGCACCCCAGCACTGCGGGCCCTGCCAATCCCCCGTAAGAAATGGCCGGTCTTCTAGAGATTAAGCATTCCAAAAGGTTCTGTGTACACCCCAACCCAAAAATCATGTGCAGCGCTTTATCTTTTTTCAGTGCAAAACCATGGCACATCCTTTCAATCGCCGCAGCAAGGGATCTCTTTGTGGCCTTTTGGCGATGCTAGTGGGTGAATCCAAGTATCTGTGAAGAACATGGCACTGACCCTAGCCGAATCATGTGTCCCAGGTCCTGTACCTTCTCAACCTTGGGCCTTGGGCCTCACAGCCTCTGGCTATTTACAGTAGTTTGGGTGTCCTTGAAGAAGCAATGCAAGGTTGTGAGCAATGCGGTGTGGCTGGCCTTAAAAAAGAACACTTTTTTGGCAGCAAGGCTGACACTTGTTTCAAAGAAACAGCTGTCACAGCAGGCACAGTACTTTGGAAGAAGTCGCGCAGATTTCGATTGGTTGCCGGCTTGGCGGTGCAGTGCAGCGTGGTCGACATTGAAAGAAACTAGTCTTTGTGGCAGTTGTGTTTGTAACAAGTGGAGGCCGGAATGGAACGTGAGAATGAGTGTGTGTGTGACTATGAGAGTAAGTAGTGAGTGACAAGGGAGTGAGTCGGCCGGGTTTGCCCATGTTCTGTCATCCCCGGCCCCGGTTGGGACCGCTTCACGGAATGTTAGACAAATCATTCGTTTCATTGAAGTCATAGTCGTTTGATCATGTGGGGTGTTCTCCAGTATCACTGCAGTGTCACAAAGGGCCGGTGAGGGCAATGGCCGGTCTTTGCGTCCAATTGGCCAGTCGAAGTCCTTCTCCCAGAAAAGGTCTCTTGCCCAAGTCATCCAGCATCATGCGGGGCTTCCCTGCGTCAAGCCATGCACAGGTATGCAAACACCGGGGGTTGTCTCGAGCCATTCCATTGGGCTCTCCTCCGGCGATGGGGGTGGACAATGCGATGCTCATCGACGTTTGTTTACACCACACCAGCTCGAAAGTCTGCAAGCGGTCCTGATTCCCAGGCCAATGCGCCTGCACAGTCATGATTGAGCTGTCTGAGGACACAGAGCAAGTTCCATGCCACCCGCTGGCTGTTTATGTGACTGCGGCAATACACATTTTGGGTGTAATGTACATCCGAAAGGCTGGCAGAAGCTCTTCCCGGAGAATCTCCCAGCTTCCTCATCTGCGTTACAGCGCGATCCTGCTCAACATCGTGGGGGGACTCTTGCGCTTCGCTAGAGACGGTGCAACTCGAAAGTTGGGATTAGGGGAGTGTCACGCCACTCCCTTCGCACAAGTGTGCATCTGGTTCGAGTACTTCTTCAGCTCCTTGTGCTTACTTTCATGATCTTTCATGTGTCCAACCTTTGTGCTGCCTCAACTTGTCACGCAGGTGGAGAGGATAGTGCAGCCTTGGCTGAAAACTCGTGGCTCCATAGGCTGGTGTTCTGGCTTGAGAGGCTTCAAGATAGGACATCATGGTGAATGACCCAGAGAGCAAAAGGCAGAAGAAATAGCTTCTTTTGGCCCTTGCTCATGTCATCAAGGTGCTTTTTGTTCAACATCGCAACCAGTGAGGCCCCACATGCATTATGGAAGTGGGCAGGTCCGTCTCACCCATGTTCAGCTCCAAAGCCTCCACGGGAGGAGCGGCGCCAGCATGCTCTGCAAAGCAAAGATCCTTTCGCAGCAAAGCTTTGGCAGCTTTGGCATCCGCCAGGGGCCAAGCCCACTTGAAGCAGGAAGTCTTTTCGAGTCCGCCGCTCCGAACGTTGAAAGAGATCCAAGGCTTTCGAACGTTGCTGTTTGGAACGGCCGTTTTCTTGCGGTCAATCCATCGATGGGCCGAGGTGTTTCTGGCTGCGATGGGCCTCAGCTTCAAATTTGCCTCCCTTGCCAGAAGGCGGAGGCAGCTGCTTGGACTAAATTTTGTGTGTTCATGTGTTTGCATTGCAAGAGGAACACCACGCACGTACATCACGGCTGCCACTATGCTGCCTGGGCACAGAACCTCCCCTTAGCAAAACAGAAACGGTGCCGGTGCCAAGTAAAAAATGGATCCTTGGTAATTTTACTGACATGAACTCGAAACCCAACTGCAAAATGTAGGGATCCACATACCTCTTCAAAAGGTACGACTGGGCACTCAAAGAAATCACCCCCTCTCAGAGGGTATGTGGATGGAAGGGAGAGAAAGCCCCGACCAAACACACGTCTAGTGAAATTCCAATGAAAGCAAAATGCCACCAACAAACGGCCCGCGTGCCGCTCGCGTGCCTTTGGGACCAGATTCTGCATGTCTTTCTTGGTGGCCTCTTCCTGACATGTTATCAACACCAAGGTGTGATCGGCCTATGCAAAAGCTTCCAAGGTTTGCCAAGTGGCTTCATCAACAACCGTCTAACAGCACGAATGCTTTTAATCTTTGAACGCAACTCCGATGGAAGAATGCTCTCTCATCGAGGCGACGAGACGATTTGAGGTCTATGTCACCCAAAGAACGATTGAATCTCACTGGATATGAATCATATATGATATATGATTGAACAGAAATATGAATATACCTGTACCTTCATGTCGGGGTCACCTGGCTGGTTTCGCCCCAGCCCACTAGACCTCCTGGACCTCCCTGTCCAGGACCCCCCTTGAAGGTCCAAAATGGATGAGTATGAATGGATGAGACTGACTGCCCTAAAAACATCACCAAATCATCATGTCGGGCCTTTTCTCGCGCCTTTTCCAAACTCCAAAAACTGCTCTGCCAGGCTTGAGGCAGACGCACATCCCGTGGTGAGACAGGCGGAGTGTTGCGGGTTGAACCGTTGATTGACCACCGACCAGCACAACGTTTGTTCAACCACCAAATCGTCTACAACATGATCAAAACTAAATCACCATGGCCATATCAGAACTTATAAACACGTCTTTACAGTTAACAGTTATGCATCTGGTGTTCATTACAATTTCTTTTGACGATCGATATATATATATATATATATTATATATATAATATATCGACGTCTTGATGCGAGTTTCCGTGCTTTTTCCGTCGGTTTTGGGTGGTGGAGGTGGCTCCCACTCGGCTCGCGGTGGGGTCGTGGTCGTGCCCCGCCTCAAGCTGCCGGAGCTTGGTGATCTCGGAGGCGGAACCCTCCACGGCGAGCTTGATCTCCTGGATGGATTCAGGGATCGAAGCACTTTCGTCTGCGAAATGAACGCAGGATCCATTGCGAGTCGATTAAAATCCCTGCCGTCAGTGAAATGGAACGCCAGCCGATGTTTTTCACTCCGGCAGTGGAGGGGAGAGGTTCAGGAACATGTACCAACACACTGCAGTACTCAATGAAGGTCGCTTGGACCCTCCTGGGGTACCCTACACCGACCCGTCGTAGCTCCGAGTTTCGGTTCGGTATGACTGGACCCGGTCCCATGGCACCCGGGCCCCGTCCCACCGATTTCCGAAACTACGGTACGACTGGAGGCCGAACGGGCTAGGAAATGGTCGACGGCCCAACTCGTCATGTTGTTCCGGAGCGAATTGGACAGCTCCGGAACCAGTGGTGACCTCGTAGTGACCTCCGGTCCGAGCATCGTGGATCCATCCGGTTCCGACCGGGTTTTTGGGATGTGTGGAGGGGTCCAACCCCCCCTTGCCATCCCAAATTCACCTGCAAACTGGAGCGTCAAAGGATTCTGAGGGGCCAAATGGAGAAATCCTTCAATTGAACCCCAGAAACGGCTGCAGCGGAAACACGATCGGGACAGCAAAGGGGTCCCTGACACTCCCGGGCGAGTCAATGAATTTGGTTCTGCTTACCCAGATGCATGTATTTCATAATTGCCTACACTGGTTTAGTTTGGGAGTGAGTGTAAGCATGCACATAGATTCCATGGAATGTCTGGGACTTTCCTGACCGACTTGGAACAACGAACCCTGAAACCACACGGCCATGATGGGGAAAAAACGCACAAATGAATACAAGTGACAGCCCACATATTAACGGGCTTGAGACCACACATACAAGAGCAGGCCCGTGAGAAAAACACATAAGAAACGCATTAAAAACACCTGAAAGCAAACGTGTGAGAGCACACACGCGAGAGCACGGGTATAGGGCACACATATATGAGACTTACAAGAGTGCATATGTGTGTGTGTGTGTGTGAGAGCGCACATGTGGGAGCACGCAGACAAATGAGAGCACTCATAATATGTGAGCAAACACATGAGAGCACACATGAGACAGCATTAATTACTTGTGAGAACACATATGCGAGCGAACCTTCAGGAGAGCGCGCATATGAGCAAGCACATATCAGAACTCACAGGTGAGAGAGCACATCATATGAGTCCACACGTGAGAAAGCAAACATATGTGAGAAACCACACGACGAAAGCAAACATATGTGAGAAACCACACGACGACCTGTAAGAGGCCACGTATGTGAGCAAACATGCGGGCACAGGTATCGGTTTGAGCTACCACAGGTATACACACATGAAAGAGCCCCACATATGAAGGCGCATATGCACATTAGGGCATGCAGACGAGGGCACACGTATATGCGAGCAACCGCAGCGAGCTAATATATGGACATGGATATGAATGAGCAGATGTACTTGGGCAAAGGCTAGCCTCTAAGCATCCCTATACCCAAAACCGCTTGGGAGTCATTGACGCCCGGTTGGATGTTCTTTGTGAAATTTTTGGGGTATGAAAATAAGCTGACATCACAACCAAGAAATCCTTGCCCTCGTTTACACGGTTAATCTGTGATCGAATAATGAAACAAGGGCATTTCTCCACAACAATCCTAATGCCATGGGCTGCGGATGTCCAACACGGGTCTTTTTGGTCTATTTTCTCAAGACGTTTCCTGTAGTTGAAGCCAACAGGACAACCGCTTACCACCCAAAGTGTTCGCAGCCCACGCTCCCCACGCTCGCCCCAGGTACGCCCAAGCCAAAGAGAGGAAGGAGAAGTTGAAGATTAAAAGCCCAAAGAAGGAAGGTCAAGTGACCTTATAGGACCCTCCTAGGATAGTCTAGGATAGTCTATAGGGTTCCTCAACCGAGAAGGAAAGAGATCAAGGCACGATCGCCGGGTTCCCCAATGACCGGTCCGACCGTGCCCGCTGCCCGGTGCCCCCGAGCTCGCGCTACACCGAACGGAGCTACACCGATCTTCAGTGGCCTAATAGTGGTCAAACAGCCGATCGGCGTGGCGTGGCCTCCAAAAAGGTGCCCTGTTGACCACACATGCCAGAAACATGAGAACCGTCGTGGGCTCAATCATCCCAAGTAAAGACTGAACATCACCCCTAGGTTTCCAAGACCATCTAAAAAATCCTTAGTTGATTCGGTAAAGCCTATTAAATTAATGGTTGTTGGAAGCCTAGGGTCACTGTATCTACCCAAACGCTCCGTGAAAACAGCCCTGAACCCCGGTCCCCAAACCGGAGCCAACACCGTCGACCTGAACACCGTCTGCAAAGGAAGGCGAAGGAACGGAGGCGATGAGCACGGGAAGCTGTACCCTGGGTTTCTCAACCTCCCAACCGGAAATGAATGGATGTGTCCATTCATGTACTTGCTCTGTAAAGGATCTATGGTGTGCCAGCCCCGAACTTGGAACATCCAGAATGGTTTCCAGGTACATGGAACCCCAGTCCCAACCAGAAACCGTTCGTTCCAAGTTCGGCGTTGGCGCACCATAGATCATTTATTACAGAGCTAAGTAAATGAATGGACACATCCATTCATTTCCGGTTGGGAGGTTGGGAAACCCAGGTCACTACCTCTTCCGCCTCTTCCCAAACATCGCCTCGGTATACCCCTGAAACTCTGGGATCTCTTCGCAGCGTGGGCAGAAACCGGATCTGTCAGAGCAGTCTGCGAAGCGCAGTCTGCTGCAGAAACCTGCTTCCGAGTCTGCGTTGCATCCGAGTCTGCTTGGGTTCAAGTTGGTCCGTGTTAGCAAATCTGGCTATCTTGGTCTAGCAAGGACAATCACTTGCAAATGTACAATCCTAGTCATAGAAGCCAAACACCGGGACCAACAGCACCATACAGCACCCCCCCCCACCCACACACACACACTATACCTTTTGCTTTTAGCGTCAAAAGAACCTGAGAAATTAAAGGTCAATGGATTGGGATTGCCGCTGCATTTCAACACCAGGTGTACCATGGATGTAAGCCTCAAACACTCCCTCACACTCGCATATGTTCATTAGGTCAATGTAGGTGTATATATGGAGTGCCTGCACAACTGAGTCAAACAACTCCTGCATCCCAAGCGAGATGAGATCCTGTGATACCTATAGTTCCGCGCGCGAAAACAACAACCTCCAGTTTCCGTCTTTCTTCTCCTCAGCGCTAAGAGTCTCAAACTCAATCAGCGCCTGGGAACCCGCGGGGTTCCACACGGCAGCTTGGCAGCGAGTGCTCAAAACCACCCCGAAGGTAGACTTGGAGACTTGCTGTCGAACCTGGAACAGCTAAAACATTTTCCGATGGGGGATTTACTTAGAAAAAAAACAATATAAAACTTATAAAACCATTATATAAACACAACACCTGATCCTCCAAACCAGGAAGAAAGGCAAGACGAGCAAGACGACTTCTGGTTATCGAAGCCCTGCACATGTGATGGAAAGGAACTAAACGGACAGGGAAGATATCAACCCGATCTTCAAGACCCAGCCTGCCTACTATACCTATCATCTTCCGAGTGTGCCAATGGCCTTTAAGACCCATTAAAACCATATGTTGCATCAGTTGGAAGATCCAGATGATCCAGCTACCTGCATTTCATTCTATATATGGGGCCTTCGAAATAGATCGCCCTATCATCCCCCACAAAACATCCAACACCCGCAGGGCGTCGGATTGGACGCCCAACTGGGCGGCCGAAGAGAGGGGAGGGGAGACCCATTGGTCGGCACCGACGCTGTGAGTTCTGGCGGTTTGTCTCCCACCCAGCTTGGGCTCAGGGTTAGGACCCTCAACCCGTTCGGGGTCTGGGTGAAATGAACCGTTCACCAACGATAAGTATACGCTCTGACGAACACGTCACATAGAAGTGGATGGCATGGTCCCGTAAGGAAGACGACTTTCCTCTAGAAACAGGTGGCGAACTCCACTTCCATGCTAGTGAGCCCCAGTGTATGTGAAATGGACCGTTCACCAACATGTAGTGTAGCAGTTGGTTTGGGAACGGGTCGCCTCTGGGGCACGGTGGTCAACCGGGGATGCCATGACTATCTAGCCATGCCATGACGCATCAGCCATGTCAGCAAGCGAGTGACTACCTCACTTCCTCAGTGAGTGAGATTTCAACCGGGAGTCCAGTGAGTCCAGTCAACTATAAAAGAAGAATGGAATATCCAAAAATCCAATGAATATCCATGACTCTCCTGCAGCCAGTCCAAAGATCGTCGAGTTCGACTTCTGAAGATTGAGGCGGTGTCCCCTTTTTTCTCCAATTCTCAGTGGCTTCAGTCCGTAGTGAGGACGATCCCTCGGAATCCATGTCCGTGATGGATGGATCAAGGCGTCGGAATCTCTTCGAACGGTCCCCAAGAACGGGGAGTCACCCATAGGGCCAACATATATGTGTTTTTTTGAGATGTTGGAGAGAAACACAAATACCCTAGGCTTCCAACAACCATTAAATTTAATAGGCTTTACCGAATCAACTAAGGAGTATACACTACAAACACCAGGTCAACCATTTTTTAAATGGTCTTGGAAGCCTCGGGAATATATATTGATCAAATAGAGATTCACGGATCCCAGCAACTTCTTTCAGGGTACCTGTGTGTGCGGCACTTGGGTGAACACGTCTCCACTGGTCTGGTCAAAAAAGAAAAACCGAAACATCCGAATTAAAAAACAGGGTCAGCTGGGTCAAATCCGGCCCATCAGCTACACCGCTCTGCACCACCTCGGCATCCTTCGGTCGACGCGACATGGCCGGTCGTCCTACCGTACCGGTAATGTCTGCGCCTGAGCGAGTCGATGCAGCTGCGCCTCGTGACTCCTGCAGGACGGAACCGAGCCGCGACCGAGCCGAAGCCGAGGGGCTTCCGGGGTCGGGGGTCGGAGCAATCCGCCTCATTGAGGGACCTGGGTGAAACGGGCTGTGTGAAATCGAAGCGTAAACAGGTGGGACCCAACTTCAAGCGCCAAAGTGGCAGGTGACCCTACTTGGCCCGGACCTGGGTGTCCTGTCTCAAGATAAAAGAAGCAGTGGGGCTACACACCCATGTGGATGACCCAAGGCACATTGAGAACGGGTACTTTGGGGCCTTCCATTTTTCGTCACAAACACAACTCCATACTCCCTTTTCAATCACCCACCCCAACTGATCGGCATATGATCTGTGAAGTACCTTGGAACATGGGTACTCTAAGATGCTCCAGCACATGCTATTTTCTTCGGGTCGTGTCCCATTGTCCAAGGTATGAACGATGTTGGGTCATGTTGGGTCCAGGGTCTTCCTTGCTTGCAAGCAAGGCTGTCTTGATGTCAGCGCTGAGGCCTAATGGTCGGAGATCTGATTTGCAACAAGCTGCCTATAGCGACGTTCTCGGAGGATAGGGGTGCCCCTGTCACACCCACTCACTTATAGAGAGACTAAAAATGACCCGTTTGTAACTCCCGGTAGGGAGGGGTTGTAAGTTGCAGAGTCCCTCTTATTAGGCTGGAGGGGGTATAGAAGTTTAATCTAATCGCATTCCGCATGACATATAAAGTGGACGAATCGGAATACCCGTCAAGCACGTAAGACATGAGGCAAAATAACAATGTATCATCACCTATCTAAGCATATTGACAAAAACTACCCAGATCCATACATGGCCTCCCGGCCTCAAGTACTGCGCTGCATGGCCGTAAGCATCCGTAAGAAGGCTCTGGGTCTTCTCATCGATTTCATGCTTTGCCTCTGCGTGCTCAAGAGTGTGTGTGTGTGTGTGTGTGCGTGGAGGATAGGGAACCAAGCACTGGCCAACGCGCAAAGCGAGGTGGTCCGGAGTCAAGCATTATAATACCTCAATTCAGTAGAAGAATATATGGTCGTGCACACACCCATGTCACACATGAAAAAAGGTCTGGGATGCTCTGACATGCTGGTGTCACCTATACCACCCTTGTGAGCTGCTCCCCGCTACAGCTCACATTCCGCCCCACAGCCCTCATCCCCCGTCCGCCTGGTCGGAGAGCACGGCATACTCGTCCACATCCAAGGAAAGGAGCCCGGACTGCGATCGCTGGGGAGGAAATCGGGGAGGCTCTGCTCTGCTCACGACATCGATGTGTGCGTTTGTGCCAGTGCCGAGTCTGTTGGTGCCAGACTCCCGAAACCCACCCGCGAGGTTGTTCTTTTGTTGATGTGAGGCTTTGCTCGTGGATGTGTGGGATGTCCCGATGGTCTCCGTAGCTCGCTAAGGTAGGTCTGGTGATGGTCCGTCAAAAGGGAGGGTTCGAGGAAGGCAGTTGGTCATATAACGTGGGCCAACAAAAAAAAACCACGCCAAGCAGCCAACCAGCACAAGCAAAAAGGATCCAGCATGGTACAAACGGTACTGGTACAAAGGATCCAAACGTGTGCAAAGGATTCCAGCACGGTAACAACTGGCTCCTAGTGGTTGGTGGTTTCAACTCGATTGAAACGACTCATTGCGATCCATCATGCCAGTCGGTTGACCATTGACCACCATGTCTGCCACCCACGACCCGGCTCGGGAGACAGAAAAGAAAAAACACATGAACACTACAGCATCAGACCCCAGGCCTATGGGAGCTGCGAAGAGGCGAACTAGGCCTCCTTTTCAGGTCTTCGAATGGCCTCCTTTTGGCCTCCTTAGGCTCCTTGACACCCTTTTGCCCTGCCTTTCGAGCGCTTTCCCTGGGAAATCAATGGTTCACCTAACAAACTCCACCTGTGCCTTTCACAAGTGGGTGTCCCCAATCTCCCCAAACAGGTTTAACCCTAGGGATCCAGTCGTACCTTCTCAGAAGGTCATTGAAGACACTGTTATGTATGCGCGAGGAGGGTCTCCAAGCAACTTCCGAGAAGGTACGACTGGATCCCTAGGGTAAGATTATCGACTTTTCCATGGAGTGGTAGGTTGCTTTTCAGGCCTGAAAACTGTGGGATGTGTGACAGTGTGCTCCATCCCAGAATCATCCAACACGGAAAGCCAAACAACTCTCCTGCATCCACTGCCATCGCAGCGAGCCAGTCACCAGTGAATTCTTCAGCGAACCAGTCACCACCAACGATGTCCGCAAAACGTCCTCAAAACAGCCTACCTGGACCGGACGTCGTTCGTACCTGTCATCATGGGATATGACAGTAAAACAACCCAAGTAATCCCAAGTACCAGTTTTCCGAGGTACGAACAGGCGGACTCCAGGTATTTGGAGCGCCCAGCCACCAGTTGGGGCATTCTTCCACCACACCCGACTGGCGAGAAAAACAACCGGCGCCTGCTGTGGCTGCTGCGCAGACATGCCAAAGTTCATGACCATGCGTCTGGCAAGGCCTGTCGCCTAGGCCAGTCTCAGTGCCATGCATGACATGCCGGTGGTGTTTTGGCGAGATCGAGGACAGAAGTCGCTTGAAGGGAAGTCGACTAAGGTCAAGGCTACTTTGCGATGCCAAACCTTGCAAAACTATCCCGAGGTGGAAGGATAAGGTGCACGTGGACGCCTGAAACCGTGTGCTTGGCACAGCATGATCATTCTTTTCAAACATTGACTTGGGACCAGGCAGTTGTCTGTAAGGTTTTGAGATGGGATAAGCAAAATGTATAGTGCCTGCGCCCAAATGGTTCAATGTTCGTCAATGAGAACGTGCACCTGCAGAATCAGAGAGAAGACCCTGTCACTCTCTAGCCTGTTGAAGAGTTCTCCTCTGAACAAATCCGCATTCCCTTGGCGACTTTTGTTGGGAACTGGCCGATTGGCCTCTACCGCTCTCCTACGAGTTCCCTTGTTTCAACCATGCATGCAGTGCACCATCAGGTGTTACCAAGAAACAACCAAAAAGCTCTGAAAGAGCATCTGGCGGAACTTATCTTATAACTATAAAAGAGTTTAAAGAGTTGCCTAATCGGGGGAGATCTAAACGTTCTTCTGTTTAGCATCTTGCCCTAGCGGCTAGCGCAAAAAGACGCCCGGTTTGCCTCGACCGAACTTCTGATTCAAGTACATTGGAACATGGGACAACCCCCGAACAAGAACAGCGGACCTCCAGGACCTCCAAAGTGACCTTCACTTGAGATCCGGCTGGTTCGGTCACTTACTCCATATGAGGTACAAACTGTTTCAACTCTTGCGGCCACAGTCCTAAAGCGGTCTACTACAGCACCGCCACAGGTCTACAGACTCCGCCCGTCCCCTTCAGACGTCCCGCGCCTGGCGAAGATCCGACGTACAGCCCGCAGTGACGTTCTCCGGGCCGAAGATCAGCTCCTGCCGCCGCCGGACCGCGCGACGCGGAGCACGTGTTCAACGACACGTGGAAGCGCGGATCACCATGTTCAGCGCGTTTCACCGTGTTCAGCGCGCCGCGCCGAGAATCCTCGATCTCCTCGGATTCTGGGGACCGGGAGTTCTGGACCGTGAGGGGACCGGTGCGTCTCCTACGACCCATGGGACTGATATATTTACATACATTGGGATGGTTGAAAAAGGGGTCAATGTATATGCCATGCATGGAGTGTCTGGGTCTGGAGCTGACCCTCTTACGTCCAAAATCCCACTTAAACACCTGGCCGAAAACTGACCTGCTTGGGCAGTGTTTTGGCATCACCAACTCACCGTTTATTTCATGATGGTCTTTGAAGAGGGATAGGTCCACACGTTTGTGGACTTCAGTGGTTCAAGTGTCTTCGACTTTGCACATCCAAGTTGTAAAAAGGGCGGGATGGCGAGATCCACCGGGACAGGTTCCTGTGCGAGGTCTCCATGCCGGAGCCTGAAAAAACATGGGGGCCGGAGCCTGATTCGTCAGGCCCCCCAAAAACACCTCACCCTAAGGATCCGCACCCGAAACAAAACAAGGGTTTGGTTCGGGGCCCCGGGTTCCCTTAGTGATACAGGGTTCGACCCCTTGCCATGGAGGGTCCGGACTCGGGTCCGGGCATTTGGCTTTCTCCCGGGAACCCGCCCCTTGGAACCTTCTTCGTGGGAAGCGCAGATCCAAACGGCTCGGCCGCACCGCCGCAGCCGCAGGGCGCCCCCTCCTCCGCCGCCTTGCCGCCCATGAGCACTCGCAAGCGCGCCTGACTGAACCGCTCGAGGGGCCCAGGGCAGGCAGGGTCAGTGGCATTGACGTGGTGAACGGATCTGATTTTGGAGAAGAGATACCTGACAACACCCAGACTTGGGCCGTGCAGCCAAGAAGTGCCCATTTCTTGGGGTGTGTACCATTTACAGTTGGCACAATGGCCTCCACTAATGAGGGTCTATCCCCTGGCACCGGCTGGTTGGGTGGCACATTCTTTGCCGTGCCGTGCCACAACATTGGAGAATCCCCCCACTCAATGGGTGCCTGTTACTGTTTGATGTTCGATGCAAGATTTCTGGAAAAACGACTTGCAGTGCAGTACACTCCCTGAAGTAATCATGGTTACGTGGATCCCTTTTTCTGCCCACCAAGCAGGTGGTGAACTCTCATTTCAAGGAGTGTATACCGTTTTGAACCACCCCTGAGGGTGGTTGTCTCTGGAAGTGCGGATGTTCACAGAAAAACAACCAAAGCTGAGGGCAACTTACTTGAAAGACCTTCTCAAAGGGTCAAAGGTGGATTTCCCGGTCAAAGGTGATTTCGCCGAGGGCTCCATGGGACTGGCATTGGGGTGAAACTTAGCGGTGCTATCATATATTCGAGCAGGGAGTGTCTGGCACAGGAGGTAATGTAAGGGATGGCAAACAGCTTTCTTGGTCAATCTTTGGCGCGAGCTGGTAGGAAGGAATCGTATGGAATATCAACCCTACACTGATCCCTTTCAACCACCCCAAGTGCTCTGCTCGGTCAATGCCAGTCCCAAACAGGTCGTGTTCGGGCTGTTCGGTCGCCATTCAACCACCAGTGATTTGCCACAGGCCTGCAGCTCGAAAAGCCGTTCCGAGTACTTTTCCCTCTCGGGGATACTCCACCTTTGGCCGCAGGGAAGAAAAACACCAAAAACGTGCCGAAGTGAATGAGCCAATTGGGTTTGTTAAATTTTTTGGGAGAGATGATCCAACATGGGAGGCTATCCCCGCAAGAGACCCCAAACAACTCAAACAGTGTGAAAGAGCAAACACAAGAGTTGGTGAACACACAGGCTTTTCAGGTTTGCATGGTCGAGTCTAGTGACCTAGTGGGCGATCAATTTACTGCAATGTCTACAAAAATGAATAGTCGCGCGCAGACCGCGTGACAGTACAGAGAGCGGAGCAAGCCGCGTGAAGAGAGAGGAGGCCAAAAATGTGAGAGGAGATCACATCACCTGAACAAGTGTTGTTGTTGGTAAGCCGAAAAAATTGTTATATACAATGTATATCTATAATTCATCATTTTCATTCCGCACCATCTGAAAGTCTCGGACTTGTGGCGTTTAAGCGGCCGGAGCCAAAAGCTGAATTTCAGCCAGGCTCATGTCAGGAGGCATGGAAACTTCTCAACTGACACAGAGTCTTCTGGCTGATCGGAATGAGCGCCGCACCTTCAACTAAGGGTTGAAGGGGCCTCAAAACCGTACGATGCAGTCCACCCTGTTCCTGAGGTCCAAAATACGGACACCGTGTGGACTTGGCTGCAAAAACATGCAAAACCTGACCTACCCTCTCAGAAGCAAGCAGCCCATGCAACCAGTCACCAGGAACTCTTCGGTCATTGCAGCAACCCCAGGTAGGCCAGGCTCAGCATCTCTCCACAAGGAAAGTCTTGCCACTCCTGCAAGAACTCTGGGCCCGTCACTCCCCTGCTCTAGCTGCACTTCGCATCTCCTCCAACATGGAGTCTCGAAGCTGTTCATCCGGGTGGAAGTTCAGACCAGCCTCCATCAAAGACTCCTCAAGGGCCAGGAATTCATCTTCCGCCCATTGGACATCTGCCAAACAAGCACCAAAGGGGCGCGGGCCACATAGTGCCAGTGCCTCCTGCCGCACCATTCCAGCAACACCTGTAAAGCTGTCCTCCGGAAGATCAGTGCGAGAGGCTTCATGGCGCCCAAACTCATGAAGCCAAGCAGCACACACATTGGGCACCCCCTTTCTTGGAATGTATCTGAGGTGCATGTTGAGCCTATTGCATGTCCAGTAGTGACGCAAGCAAACCACACAGGAGTTACCATGTATGTAGCCTGCCCGGTCCGCCAGCCATGCAGCTTGACCTTATGCAAACGAAGAGCACGCTCATTAGCAAAGGCCTGCCCACAATGACACCGGCATTGGGCTTGAAGCCAAAGGTCAAGAAGAGTGTCATCCTCTTCCCCTCGATGTTTGTCCTCTGGGCTCTGACGTGCTAAAAGACAAACATGCTTCTGACCTGCCTGCCGGATGAGATGCTGCCAGCCAGGTTTGCCCGCACGCCAGGTTTCCCATAGCTCATGCACCGAAGAGCCCCATCCAGCCAGAGGCATCACAGAGCTCAGCCAAGCCATGTCATCCTCAATCTCGGACATCCAGCTTCGTGGAAGTTCCTTATGCTCCAATTGAAGTTCATGCCATAGAAAATCAGGAGCCGCGCGAGCAATCCGAGCTCCCAAAAAGAACCTTTGCTGAGCCAAGCGCACCAATAAAGGAGCACACTGTGCTTTCTGCCAAAGGGCACCATCACTCAGCACTGTCAGACCCGGCCGTTTGACCTGACCAAGAACTCGCCGGAGTAGACCCATATAGCAAACTTGTAGTCTTCGGAGATCAGCTTCCAACAGACCACTCCACGCCCCAGCACCATAGAGCAACTTCGTGAGGACCAACGATTCCAGCAAAAATAATCGAGTCCGCTCACGTAGGGCTCGGTTGAGGAAAATAGGCTGTGCTAGCTGCCTGAATGTGCCCCACGCTTGGCCCACTCGCCTTTGGATTTCCACTTTCAAGCGCCCCGCTGTAGTGATAGTAGTGCCAAGATGCTTGTAGACTTGGCTGACATTCAGCTGCACCTGCTGGCATTGGTCCTGGAGTGGTACTGGGAGATAAGGCGCTTGCCGTAGACCTTCACGAAAAGACTTAGAATCTTTCCCCACATGCGTGATGGTCACCTCCGTTTTGCCCTTGCTCATGTTCAAGGTCATCCCATGAGCATGAAAAACCGCATAGATGTGCTGAAAGGTCTCAATCACCTCACTGCCAATTTGATCATTGTCCAGAGCCACACGAGGGACTGCTAAATCATCAGCCCAAACAATTTGCATAGCCTGAGTGTTCAGGGCTGCTTGTGCCTGGTCCTGCACTGGACGCGCGCCCACATAGTCCTCGATCTGCTTCACGATGGGGCTCATGAGACTATGAAACATTGCATCTGCCAATGGACTGCCAGGTCGTGAGCCACGGGCCGTCCGCACTCCTCTGCCATGAATGGTGGCCCAAGTGAAGCTATGCAATTCCCTCAGAAGCTCACGAAGTGGTCCTGCAGGTAAGAGCCCTTCAGACTGAGTCAAATGAAGCACCACACTCTGGTCAAAGGACTCCCCAGCCAGCACACGTTGCAAGGCTTTCAAATCCTGTGGCCCTCCCAACCCAGCTCCAACAACCAGCTCCCGCACTAAAGAGCGAAAAGCTGCCCGCAGGCCAACGTAGATCACCGCACTAGGAAGACCTGCATGGTAAGCACGCTTCATGAGTGTCCGGATGTAGAGGCTGCCATATACAGACATTCTTGCTGTCTGAATCCGCCTAGCTGCCCCACAGGACTTGTGAGCTGGACTTGATTCATCAACGTGTCTCGAAAGAGTGCATGAACCCTTCTCACAAGCACACCAAGCAGCATGATGCCACGAAAGTGAGCTGGCTCTTTGGGTGCCACTGTCTTTGGCAACATGTAGAGCACTCCACCTTTCCATTGGATTGGGTCCTCCATAGTTGTGAGCATCTTGGTCACCATGTCATAGACCCATGGAGCTAATGATGGAGCAGCATAGTGGATCCAATCAGAACCCAAACCATCAGGGCCCGCTGCTTTACCAGGCTTTGTGTGACGCATGGAGGTCTCAATCTGCGTGAGAGTAGGCAAGTCAGCAAAATGCCGAACACCCTTGCCTGTTTTAGAAGGCTGCTCCACAATCTCTGCATAGAGGTCAGGTAAGGTCGTTGGCGTGCCGGCCTCCAAGTCACAGAGATAGGGCTCTCATAGATCCCCCCTCATAGATTCTTGTTGCTGTGCACTGCGCATAGCTTTGCGCTGTTGAGCTTTGGGCAGGAAGTGCTTAACTTTTTGCCATAACGTCTTGGAGTCTTGATCAAGATCAGCTTCCTTCCATTTCTGCCTCAAGTCTTCAAAGAAGTCATTGGTGTCCCTGCGTGCCAAAGTAGTGGCTAGATTTCGAGCTCGACGAAATGAGGTGAAGGCAATGCTCCAATCCCTAGCCAGCTGCTTTTCATAAGGCTCCAACCACTCCCAGTCAGCAGGGCCACGAAAGTTGATCTTCCAACCATAAAAGCAAGCCCGCAATTCATGTCGTTTACGCCGTGCCTGACAGTGGAGAACTGCCTTTCTCCAAGCAGCCTTTTCAATGACAGCAACCTTAGTATCTTCCTGGTAATAGGTCTTGCGGTGGAAACGCTGCCTCTTGGGCACGATCTGCATGACTCCTTGCTTGAATCTTTCCGCAAGCTCATGAGCATGTTGGTGCACATCCAACTGCCAGTGGATGGGAGCCATCTGGTAGACTGCCTGACTCATGAGAGCTTCCCCATCCTGCTCGGTCAGAACTTGTAGCGGAGGTGTCTTATGAGGCCGCTGAAGAGGTGGCGCCCCATGTAGGCCAGCTACCAGCTTGAGACATGTAGCTCTATGATCGTGTAGATGGGAATGCGCCTGGAGCTCCAAATCCACCCATGCACTGGCCTCGGTGTAGTGCCAGTCTTGAGGCACGGCAATGTAGTCAAGCCTGGCCTCACCACCGTTAGGATGAAACCACGTTGAGGTAGGGCCACGCTGATGCTCCTCAAACGTTGCAGGAATCCATTGCTGCCATCGCAGAACATGATCATGCAGGTACCGGCCTGATTCTCCTCCTCCATTGCATGTCCACCAACACATGCTGAGCCAAGGCGGGCATTCATGTCACCCAGCAAAATCATCGGCTTGCTCCTCAACTGGCTAGGAAGGGTTTGATGAAAATCGGTCCAGTACTGCGCAATCACCATATCCTCCTTCCCACTATGAGGCACATGTAGATTTGCTATCAGGATGTCCACTGGCCCACACCACAATCTGGTCACAATGCACTCCGGATTGCTGGCTACCACAGTCCAATGTTGATCCTGCAGTGTAATGCGTTGTCCCTGGGCATCATAGATCTTGAAAAGCTCAGGATGTAGAGCAAGGAGAACTCCTCCCTGTCCTTTGTGAGCTGGGTGACTTCTGATCAGATACTGCTCGTCTTGGAAGGCTAGCTTCTTGAGTCGAGTCTCCTGAACAGCCAGCAGAGCTACCTCCGTAGAGACCGCCACATAGGCAGACACATAGTGCTGTTTGAAAGTCATGACATTGCAGGAGACAAGAATCCTTCCACACAGGCCGAAGTTGGTTCCTCCAACTTTTCCTCCCAAGTAGCAAGAGATGAAGCCACACTTTGATCCCATCCTTTCTCCGGCGTTGGCAAGTGTAGAGTTGAGCCATGCAAAAAGGGACGCAGGTCCTGCCGATAAAGGAGCCAAAAAGACTGGACCCACAAACTCGGCAAGACAGACTCAGCTCTGAATGCATACCAGAAAGCATCAGTGGGAAAAGTGGCCGTTCTCTGCGGCATAGGTCAAAGCCGTGTCCCCATAATCTGGTCATAGACCGGCCTCCTGAAGTGCGTCCTGTAGAGGTTGTCGAGGTAGGGCTGGCCAAGATTGTCTGACAGCAGCTTCAGCAGCGCGAACTGTGAAGGGATGTGGCCGTTCACCGCAATTGCGGGGACTGCGTAGCGCTCGCCCGGAATCACCCGGGGAGCCTCACACAC